ATTTCCTTCATAGGAAAAACATTCTCAAAGAATATAGCATTCCTTGACTCAACCGTGGTACCAACAGATACCTTTTGATTTTCTGATTTGTAAACCAGAAATCTATATGCATACTATTGTACGCATATCCAATAAATACACAATCGACTGTCTTTGGCCCGATTCGCATTTGTTTTGGTTCTGGTACTGAAACCTTAGCCAAACACCCCCACACTTTTCAGATATTTATAAGACGACTTACAATTTTTCCACAATTCGTAAGGAGTCGCATCTTTCCCTTTAGGTGGTATTTTATTCAGGATATGATTTGCTGTTAAAACAGCTTCCCCCACATGTTCTGTGGTAATCCTAACTTTATCAACATGACATTCATCATTTCTTTTAACGTACGGTTCTTGCGTTCAGCAACACCGTTCGACTGGGGAGAATATGGGGCGGTCGTTTGATGAATTATGCCATATTCAGAACATATTTGTTCAAAAAGAGATACATACTCCCCACCCCTATCACTTCGGATTATTTTAATCCTCTTGCCGAGTTGATTTTCAACGTCGGTCTTATAGATTTTAAACGTTTCCACAGCCTCGTCTTTGCTTCTTAACAAATATAAGTAGCAAAACCTTGTACAATCATCGATAAAAGTTACAAAAAATTTTTTACCGGTTCTTGTTTGCACACTTTCATATCACATACATCAGTATGTATCAAGCCTAATGATTCAGTACTCCTTTCCACCGAGTGAAACGGTAACTTAGCCATTTTTGCTTCAACACATATTTCACATTTCTTTTGTGATTCAATTTTAGAATTAGGAATTAATTCTAAATTCATCAACCATTTAATCGCATTTAGATTTACATGTCCCAATCTAACATGCCATAAATCATAGCACTCAACTGTATAAACAGAAATAGGCTTTCCGTTCTTATTAGAAATGGTTACACGGCTCACAGCCATTACATTCATTTTGAACAAACCCTTGTCGATATATCCACGACCAAGGAATGATCCAAACTTACTAAGAACAAACTTCTTAGCGTCAAACACAAGCCTAAATCCATGCTCAACAAGAAGAGATCTAGAGACAAAATTCTTGCGGATGTCTGGGACATGCAGAACATCCTTAAGCTTCAACTCCTTTCCAGAAGTCAGCTTCAGCACCACAGTGCTCACTCCAGCCACTTCAGCCGTAGAGGAGTTTGCCATGTGAAGTTTCCGACTCTTAGCAGGAGTGTATTCAGAAAATACCTCCTTATCGGAACACACATGACGAGTGACACCAGTATCAATGAACCACTCCTTTGGGTTATCCACCAAATTGGCTTCAAACACCACAGCCGACATATCAAAGTCGGTCAGTTCACCCGACACAGAGTCGTGTTCAGCCACAAGGGCACTCGGTTTACCTTTCTTTGGCACAACCTTCTTTGGCCTATTGCAGTCTTTCGCCATATGGTTCGGCTTTCCACAGTTGTAGCAAGTACCTGTAAATTTCCAAACCTTACCTGACTGCTTCCATTTGTCCAGGGACTTTCTTTTGCTCGAGTTGCCTTGCTCTAGCAAGTTAGTACGAGCCTCCATCATCGGAACTTTCCCCGATGAATTACGATTGTCTTCCTCAATACGAAGACGAACAACCAGGTCTTCAAGACTCATCTCCTTCCTCTTATGCTTGAGATAGTTCTTGAAGTCTTTCCAACCCGGAGGCAGCTTTTCTACCGCAGCCGCAACTTGGAATGACTCACTTAGAGACATTCCCTCAGCATGGATATCGTGCAAGATAAGTTGAAACTCTTGCACTTGGGACACGACGGTCTTTGAGTCGACCATCTTGAAGTCAAGAAATTTACCGACGACGAATTTCTTCGCCCCGGCATCTTCGGTCTTGTACTTTTTCTCCAAAGCAGCCCAAAGCTCTTTGGCTGAACCAACCGAGCTGTGCACATTATAGAACTCATCACTAAGTCCGTTCAGGACATAGTTACAGCAAAGGTAATCACCTTGCCACCAAGCCTCGTACGCAGTGCGTAATTCAGCATTGGTTTCATTTTCATCAATGACCGGAGAGTCATCCTTTAGGTACTTCACCAAACCCAATGTAGTTTGGTAAAAGTGAATCTTTTGTTGCCATCTCTTGAAATCAAGTCCTTTGAATTTTTCGGGCTTCTCAGCAGTAGGGACATGGACAACAGGTACATGATTGACCGGATGTTGATGTTGAGAACCTTCTCCGTTGTATGCCATCAGTTCAGTAGGTTGACTGATATTCTTCTTGCGATTGTTAGAAATCTGGTATGAAATACACGGAAAATCCTACGAACTGATATGTATTTTTCAGTTCTTACAAATAATCTAAAAATAGAAAACTACAATTGAACTGAAAAATAAATTACAACTGAAAAATAAATTAAAACCTAAAAACAAAATGAAAAGATTTTAGCCGAGGCGAGTAAAACTTTTTCCGCAAGAAGAATACGCCCCGTGTGTCAGCTAACGGTTCAGGCGTAACTTCCTCAAAGATACAGCGGCAAACGTCTCTAAATCTGTAGCACACCAGATTTACGAGCTCCGGCGAACTAGAACGGAGTCGAAAATTGAGCACTAAAAAATAAGAATAAAAATATCTCTATTTTGTTATTTGATACCAAATAAATTTTTATATTTTTCTATTCTTTTTTTTTTGTCCTCTATCTTTCTCTTCTTTCCTTATGTATATTTTTCCTCTATGGCGATTGCCGAGTCCTCTATTTATAGAGGATGTGAGAAATTTTTTTTTCCTTCTTTTCCAAGTGGGCTAGTAGGGGCGTCTGAATTTGGCCCAACTAGGGGTGTTCACGGTCCGGATTGGTCCGGTTTTAGCCCAAACCATGACCAAACCGGACCTAACGGTTAATTTTTTTTCTTGTCCATAATCGGACCGATTTTATTTTTTAACCGACCACAATCCGGACCGCATTGGACGGTCCAGTTTGGCGGTTAACCGGTTAAATCCAAAACTTGTTTTGGGCCTTCAATTTTTATTTTTTTTCATTTTGGGCTTAATTTTTGTTTTTCAATTTTTGGTCCTAAAGAGATTATTTTGGCTTAAAAATTAACAAAAACAACAATAATGAAATAAAAAGTACACAATTCGTCTCATAAGCATAAAAATGCACATTTCCTCCCATAAACATAAAAATACAAAAGTGATGAAGATTTGTTATGCAAACTGAACTCAAGCAAACATTCATTTTTCAGTCAGTTTATACACCTGAAATAATAAGAGCAAAGCATTCATAGTGAATGTATTGTATTTGTCGGCCATAGTGAATGACTGAATGTATATATATATTTGTCATAGTTTTTTAATATTTACCGGTACGGTCCGGTTAAACCGGCGGTTTGCCGCAGGTAATCCGTTAACCGGACCGGTTATTCCGAATTTTTAAAAAAATTAACCACCGGATTTTTTAAGGCTTTTTTAACTGATCATTTAACTGATCCGCGGTCCGAATTGACAGTTACTTCCGGTTAAAACCGGACCGTAAACACCCCTAGGCCCAACTTTAGAAT